AACTATTAATAGTTAAAAAAAGAAATAGTTTCGAATACATAACATACCTGACCAAGTCTCATTTTGTAATTCAAAACATGACAGGGTAAATCCTCAGCCAGTCAGTGGCTTGTCGCAAATACCTTTCTGGATTCCTATGCATATTTAAATTAATCTGTTCTGAGACCTGTGGCATTATACTAATATATGCATCAAAAAGTGAATGTTTATCTTGCAGCGTTGGTAACATTTCCTCGGGAGGCGCTTTTCTCTGTACCGCTTTGCAACATATTTGACAGACTGATCACAATCCACTGGAAGGTCAACGTTTAATGTTGTTCGCAGGTGAATTTGTCTCGTACATATTCAAAGCCTGCTGCAGCATTTTTATCAGTCCTGCGGGTAGCTGAAGACAAAAATGCATCCATTACTAGCTGGTATCCCTAGCTTGTATGCAAGCAGCATGCCTGAAACCATGACAAGACATAATTGACACATTTTCAAGAGGACATCTTGCACAAATGAAGTATTTCCTCGAAAAACACGATAGCTGTTGACGATAGATTCAATTGGTTCGTCAGAATTCACAAATGATGCGATAGCGCTAATTATGGTTTTCATTTACTTTCATTGGCATCCTCAGTGAATGGAAACTATCGCACTTATTTATGTCAACGGGAAATATTGGAATCAACCAAATCAAAGCTCGACCTGCATCGCTGAACGGATTGTGGTGGAAATACGATGCACCGCTGTATATTGAAAATCACTTTGAATCCCAGCATGCTAGCATAATCGTTAGCAAGCCATGAGTAAGCTCTAGAATTACAAGCTTTATCATCATGTATATATTGTAGTATTTTCGATATTCTGCAGAAACGAAAACGATAACCATTCAAATGAAATGTCTGTATGTGTGTGTGTGTGTGTGTGTATAAGGGATACAATTTTTCCTCTTTCCATGGTCAATGCCAGCACGCGTGACCGACGTTAACCTACTTTTTTTGTCGTGAAGGGCAGATTTTCTCGAGCTCCAAGTGTTAATATGATAATGATTCTGTGTCAGTCATTCATTCCCCTTGAACTGAGAGCCACTCTTTATCCAAGGCTGCATTATACCCACTATACCGCTTTTTCACAAAGGACCCACACTGCCACAGTGTAGAATAACAGGGAGAATTACAGGCTCCTCTCTTCTCCTATGTAACAACTTTATTCAGCTTTCGATGAAGCACCCTGCCTGGTTTTCAAACAATAGTCACATCAGATGGATTCAATTGAGCCAAATGAACGGGACGGGGAACTCGGTGTATTTCAGCAAAGGTGAGGCAGAGACATTTGGGAGGGATCCAACCTTGCAGTATTTCTCAAAGTGTCACGTCGTTTTTACATGATACAATGTTCATTGACTTAATACAATTTGGGATGGGATGGACGAGCCAGGCTATGAAACATAGTATGGAAAATATAGATATATTTTTTAATCATGCTGCTTTGAAATGGCTATTAAATGGATAGAGGATAATACTCGGAATAAATTTGTCCTTGCGAATTCATATCTGAACACGATCCATTAATAAATGACTTTAGCAGTCATCCTCAATGTTTAAAGAAGATTAGGAGCCATCACACGCAGACGCGTTGGCTTGCTGCCATTATCCAAACTTCAAATATGTTCCAAATCGATATGGCACTCGGATATGTAATTGTATTGGCATCTATGGCGTCCACCATTTGCATTTGGGATTGTGATCATTTGAGCTGTATTTTCTTGGCTGACACATATCGGGTGCGGCGCGTGGCCTCAATATGGGATGATTTTAAAACTATCATGACAATAATAATAACATGGCTCGAACAACATTTTTTTTTTTTTAGGTTGATGCCAATTCCGATATTTGGCAGGATAAAATTCCGATATCCAATTGATCGATTAAGTAATTAAAAAAAAAATACAATTCATAAATTTGTTCATAATTTTTAAAATAACATCGGGAAAGGTCAATAGTACGGATTTGTGTTAAAATGTGAAACTGACCATATTTGGAAATAAGGGTTTCCGCCTGCCAGTGACAAAACGATTTCCTAATAAATCTTGTTGGGTTGGAGTCAAGCACGATTGTTGAGCACCGCTGTCCACGCAGTTTGTGTGGATTGAGAATAAATCCTGAGTCAGACACAAAATGGAATTAGAAGAAAGCGCATGCTGAGACGAGACTCGGATCGCTCAAAAGTGGTCTTGATATACCGAGACCGAACATCTTGTCATTTTGTTAGATGACTAGATAATGACACATACGTGAACGGTAAAGTAACACATGCTGTGAATAAAGAAGCAATGTGTCAGTCTGCGGCCGGCGCCACGCTGCGCGTCGTGAAACATCTTCACCTTTGTTATGTAAGTGATTTGAAACGCACCCACCTCTTGCTCCGCCGTTCACCTGGAGCTCTTCACTGTCTGCATGCCGCCGCAATAAAAAGCCTCTCCCCCACCCTGACAGTTTTTGAAAGTGACTGTCATAGCCTAACCATGTAGGCCATGATAATGTCCATTTTCATAGAAGGGAAGTGAAGGGCCACTTGGCTTTTTCAATAAACCTGCGGTGATGTGTTTGGTAATGTATTGGTTATACTTCACCATTAAAAAAATAAAATAAAATAAAAAAACATTCTGCTCCTTCAGCAGGCCAGAGCACTTCTCCCTAAATTGCCTTTTCTCCAACTGCCATTGGTTATGCTTTCCACTCCACTGCGCAAATATGATTTATTTATTTCATGAAAAAATAAATAAATAAAAAAATAGTTCCAACAAAGCAAGCCAACCGACCTACAAACTGACACTTGGAAAAATTGACAGATAGGCAGCGGGATACAAAGGTGGATCGATAACAAATGGAAGATGGCTATTACTGAGCTAGATAATGAAGATAATTGGAGCAGAAATTGACAGATCACGGCGAGCGGGAAGATATTCACGTCCAGACTTCACAGAAAGGTGATGGAAGATAAAAAAAAAATGGAGTGGTCTTGAGTTAGTGATTCCCCATTACGTGAAAGTCAATTTTCCCTCCTGCCTCTCTTTTATCTGGTACAATTATGGAGACTGTGTTTGTCTGGTGGCAGGGAAATAGGCTCGCTCTGTTTAGACTGGGGTCAGCTATAATGAAAAAGCACCATCAAACTCCGAATGGCGGCTATATGCAGTGTCTATCTCGATGCCGGGCCAGATAATAACTATTGATTGCTATTGAGAGACAAGAAAAACGGAGTGGAAGAAAGAGTAAAGCACGGCAAACCGACGGACTATCGAGGTCAGACAATAATTATTTTCCCCGGTTTGAATCATTAAATACACAGTGCTGCCTTGAGATGCGATCTTTATTTATTCCACAACAACGCTTGGAACTCCAAAAATTAATATTAGTGCTGTTCCAGCAAAAAAAATGTGTAATGTTTTCACAAATGAAAATAGCACTCTTTGATAGTGTACTGTATAAAAGCAGTCATGACATAAATAGAACGTAAGGAAAACAATTCAAGATTAAGTCATTGTAGCTCCTTCTGGTGTGTGTGATTTGGCTACCAGGGGGCATTATACTAGTTTCACAACTACTTTGAGTGACACAGTAAGCTGCCATAACAATAGACGATTTTGTTTCTGCAGAAGATAAGGAATATACGCTTGCGAGTTTTGCTGAATTGTCTGTCTACATGTGTTTCACCACCGTTTGTGTTCAAATTGGCGTTAGAACACCACCGCAAAGATACTATTCTTTAGTCTGTGGCGTTTGGCATTGTTTGTTAGCATTCGGCTAAACAAAGCTACGTGGTTGTTTTAACTCATTGTTTGGTGTTTAGCTTGACAGTAATCTTCACCCAGGACAGTTCAGACAGCCAGTTCAGCAGATTATTTCATCGTTTCACTAATTTTAGCTGTAATGCTTTTGCGCAGAGGGAAGTAGTCAGCCATGAAGATGAATTGGCGTACAGATTCTATTCGAATCAAAGTGATCAGTTAGCTCATTGTTTTATTGCTTGCGTCATTCATGGCTCTAAGATTTCCACAAGGACTTTGGGAAAGATAATGTAACCACAGTCAGTCACTTTTGAGAAGTATTACCTTTGGCTTTCCTGCAAGACCAACGTGTCCTTCGCATTTGAATTAATGACAGCTTAATAAATTAAAGTTTTTCGCGACTTGAATTGGTGATCGAGCATGCTTTTGCGGTGGTGTTATATTGATGTCGATGTGCAACGGTAGATGATAATATGAGGTCGAAATCTTTTGAATACTCAAACAGTTGTGCTACACTAAAGTTTGAGGCGCTTTGCAGCATGAATGCTAAATAAAGCATGTGCTCATTATGGCTTTTCCTGGCAGGAAATCCAAGCACCAAATCCTTTCGATTGCATTTAAGCAGCATGCGGTCTACCTGACAATTTGTGAAATGCACTTTGGGCTTTTTTTTTTTTTCTCTCTCAATGTAAATCACACGCAAGTGAGAGAACAAATGAGCTGCTAGTCAAACATCCCAACAATACCTCTTAAATTTACGATCGGAATGCTGATCGCAACGTCCGGGAGGTTTCAAGGTAGGCTTGTCAACGCGTTTGTTGTTTTGTGCAGAATCCGATCCCCAATGTGCATTTTATTTAATCCCGGAATATTTCTCAAAAACATAGCTGTCAAATACAGAGGCATGCCGATGTTTTACATGCAGACTGAATACGAAATGAGGCATGAATCTGAAATGTCTGTGTAAATTGGGTTTATTTGACAGTTTTAATCATGGACACATCCACACTTAACCGTAAGAACTGTCAGCATGATTCAGCAGAAGAAATCATGTCATGTGTGGTCAGCCGTAGGTCTCCTTGCTCGCTGATCACGACAGGCATAGGCCGTGTTTTAAGAATGGATCACTATCTGCGGCAGACATGTTTAACGCCGTCTCACGACCCAAGAGAAAGAGATTTAAAAGCCACTTGCTCACCTCTCTCGCTTTTTCTCTCTCTGGCAGTCCGGCTTCAGCGCAACATCACGAGATAATAACCTTTGCCGCCAAAGGCAATGGCTAAACGTGAGTATATCTTCGGGTTGATCAGAGATTTTCACCACTGAGCCTTCAATTCTACAGATGCCTCCAGCACCATAAGCCAAAATAAACCCGAGTAAGACGAGCTTTCTTACCCACCTGGGCAGAGATGATCCTCCACCTGCTACACTGATTCTCAATCTCAATCAGCTCAACTCCGTTCACTAACTGTCAGCTGCCAAAATCCAGACTAAAACATTGACTGTACTACTTTAGATGTGTTACTTTTACTTTCCAAGCGTAAAATGACCTGCGAAGCTTAGAGCTAAAGTACTCACACTGGAGCCACAACTTAATAGCTCGCCCTGTGTTTGAGTCGATCCACTTATGGACTGCAGGTGTTGGTCGCGCACGTTCATAATGTGGATGTCATGATCCTGTTCTTGTGTGTCTCCGGCAGGTGGCAGAGGAGGGCCTTCGCTCCAGCGTGCACACCTGCCGTCAATGTTCATATCAATTAGCCACGTATTAATGGACTGTCAAGCTGCCAAGCCTTTGTCGGATTATTATTACCTTGCTCATGACTTTGTCTCCAAGTGTTGAATTTTCTAGTTGATCTTTCTTGTTCACGCCATGTAGTTTTGTACTCTCATCCTTAGTCAGTCGTCTAATTTTGATCAGCTTTACACATCCAGCAGAGTGACGATCAATTGTACTTTGTCAAACGTGTGAAAGCAGAGGCCACCTAAGAGTCATCTTCAGGATCAACAAAGGTGGAATAGTTATTTATGTATTTTTTTTTGACAGAGAAAATATTTGCCAAACAAGAATGTGTATGTTTTTTTTCCCCCCTTTCCTTCATATGAGCAATGTGCCTGTGGTGGATTCCGAGAACTCACTTGGCAAAATGAACCAAACTAACCGGCTATTGCGGCCACAGTCTGACTCAAAGATAGGGGCCACTTCTTCTTTTCAAAGTTGGCCTTTTCTTCACTCTAGAACTCATGCATGGAAATTGGTCACTTGTTCAGAAACAAGATGGTGACCCAGCAGGAGTAGAAGTGGTTGGCAGGAAAAAAAAAAAAAAAAAAAACTGAACGAAGGGGCAGCCACAGGTTCAGGCATTCCTGCAGCTAACATGGCCTTCACCTTACATACGCATTAGGTACATTTACCGATGAGGCTGGATTTCCATTTAATTGCGTCATGTGCAAATCCCAATCAGTGGCACAGGGCCAGAGGGGCATTCCATTAACTTTTGTTGCCAAGACATGTTGTGCGGAACTGAAGGTGATATTAAAGGTTCAAACAAAAGAAACCAATATACAATTAATAATAGAAAAAAAAGGAAAAGTTGGGCCTGATATTGACCATGTTGGCTTTAAAAAAAGATAATACAGTCGTTGGTAGTAGTTCCTTTATTCCTTCCCCATAGTCTATCCGATAATTCTGTACATGTCGGCTTACTTTTCAGCTTCCTATTTCTTCTTTCCAACTGCGCCCTTGCGTTGCGGTTGGACGTAAGACCACAGACAGATTGTGCGATCCATGCAATTTTGATGAAAAGCAGTGGGGGGGCAGGCCACAGTGTTTAGTTGTCAACCGGCATACCAGCAGGAGAGAGTGAAGAAAAGGGAGGAAGGAGGAACCTATGTCATGTTTTATTCAGGGCTGTCCAAGAAGATGCCTTTTTTTTTTTTTTTTTTTAAAGATCATCCATTTAGGGCAAGATGAGACAATTGAGGTGAGACCATTTTGAAGCTTAAGTCTGACAAAAACTTGCGAGGGCAGGGGGGGACGGACAGCTTGGAGAGCTTGAGGATGATCAGGCCTTCAGCCAATGCCGCATTTATGGTGGCTGAGTGTCTTCAAACAATTCCACACATGATGAGACAAACTCGAAACCAGTGTTGTTCATCCCTGAGGGGCTGCGCATGAGCCAGTGAGCGCGAGTCACTTAGCATTCAACCGGATGTATCATGACAGCACCCTTGTTTTTTTTTTTTTTTTTTGTAAGCCAACGTCAGTCGGCAGAGACGTCGTCGTCGTGATTTGCCATATCGCGGATGCGGCCCAACATGACATAGCTGAGCTCATGTTGACCTGCTACGGATCACCGAGTAGTTGAGATTGAATCACCAGTGCCTCGCTGGACGCAGACAAATAGTGCCCCCAAATTGCTTGGAGACAAAATTAATCAACAATCAATTCCACACTATTTACCAAATACACTTCTTAACTATCAACTAATGTTTCTTTTTGTTCCAAAAAACTACTCCAAGTAATTATTTGCTTTGCCTGTGAATGTCTTTAGCTGTTTGTGAATGCTTTTAGGCACTGCGCTTTTAGCTGTGAAGCACATACATGGCTTGTGTATGAAATGTGCAATATCAATATAACTGCTTTGCCTTGCCTCAATTGCTTGGTCTTGAGCCAAGAGTCACCACCGAGCATTTTTAGTCCACTTCACTGAAGTACATGACTGAACGAAAAGCTGTACATTGTACATTGTACAGCTTTTAGTTCAACCCCGCATTTCAAATGATGGCTATGGCGATGAAGCTGAAGGAAAAGTAACAAAACCTCACACGGAAAGTCAAACTTTAGAGGGCAGATTCAAACAATTCTCCAAACCGAAATACCCTTGTTAAATTGGCTTGTCAGCATCTTGCTAATAATGCAGGAAAAGATTGTTTAGTAATTCCGTGGACATAATAAACCATTTGAGCGAACAATTGGATGGGGGCGAAATAAATATTGTTGTAATTGCAAATTCTCATGTCTAAATCCTAAGTACTTCATCCATCATAAAATAGAGCAGACAAAGGAAAACATCCGGATTTGGATAAAGGGGATCAGTGTGTCCTTTTTATCATTTTGTCTTACGTTTCCTTCTTTTCCCCCGGAGAACATATTGAGGCGAAGATTGCATTTTGTGCCCGGCCCGACACTGCATCTATTCACTTCTTCAGTTCGCTTGATAAATTCAATATGATTCTTTCCGTGAAGTTGATTATGTTCTTTCTCATTTAGAACTGACACGACACAGAGGACCCGAATGTAAAATGGAGTGTTTTATAATGTGCTTTAACACTGACTCCTGCAGTCACAAAATTTATCATCCTGCCCCGGTCTACTCTTTACACCACACAGAATGCGACATCCAGAAGGCTTATTAATAGTCGTTCTGATGCAAGAAAGAAAAAACAAAAAAAACACTGAATAAAGTATGACGGTCGTGTTCCATCTTTATTATTTCAAAGACACCAAGTTGGCTTCCCACAATTCCTCCCGCTTTCTCGCATCAATTTTAGCCTCAGGAGGGTTATTTTGAGAAATGGCTGAGCCAAGGACAAATCCTCTCTCTCATTGTTGTTGTTGACTTATTCAGTTATTCGACCATGCGGCAAATGGACACATTCTCCACAAATGGAACCTTCAGTTCTGAATGATTAATTATCAAAGCCCTTTGGTAGATTTTTTTTCCCTTTTTTTTTTTTTTTTTTTTCGAGCAGCAAGCGGCTTTCGGATCGTTCTTGTGCCGGCACAACTGCGAGGCTATGAAGACAAGTTGATAACACCAAAAGCACTACCTTTTGAATTAATGTACGAGACAGTAATGCATGCAAATGTTTGGAGTAAATGGGTCATATTGATCGTTCTTTGTTTGCATAGTATCATTTGATCATGTCATTTTATGCTCAAAATATAAAAGCATGTATCATCCCTGCTGGTATCGATATTGGTATCGGATAGTACGCTAGGCTGCAATATCAGTATCGTATCAGATGTGGAAAAACTTGAGACACCCCAAATATATACGTCATTTTTCAAGGGCATTCTACGGAACGCGAGATCTCGCAAAGTTTTTTTTTTTTTTTTTTTTCCTCTTCCATGTCCCCTTAGGGGCTCCGTAAAATACAGCTTCGAAACGGAATACTTTTTTTCTGAATGAAATCATTTGAATAATTGGCTGAATAATTTCTGTGGAAGACATATTTCCTAAAAACACTTAATACAATAGAATAATAATAATACATCGACTGTCATTTCTTCCCACTATACTCTTGATTAATGCCTCAATTTGGCCCCATTGCTTACACTGAGGATATTGACCTGTTTCCACTGCCACTTACACTTCCGGTGTCGGTAAGTGCACCGTGTTAGCCAGAGCGGTGAGTGGAACCAATGCAGATGTGATTAGTCTGGCTAGGGGGTAAATGAAAACCATTATTAAGCTTTTTCCTCGATGCTGCATCTTAATGCGAAACACAGCAGAGGTCATTTGAATTGCTAAATCTGCGCCGGCAAGTCTCATTTGGCGCCGGACAATCTGGAGGGAAGACGACGGCCCTACCTGCTGCGCTTGTTTTGTTTTGTCATGTGTCTTGGAATAAGCAACGTTTTCAAATGCAAGAGTCAAACATCCGTTGTTTTTCTACCCATTACGCTCTGCAGGGAAAATGGGTTGGTTGTTTAAATGTTTCATAGAAGCCCAAAATGAAACAAAACAGCCACTGCGCTACAAAAAAAAGAAAAAAAAAGAGATTCCACTGTGCCTTGAAATACAAATTCCTTCCGTGACCACAATTGTAACACAAAAAAAAAAAAAAAAGCCTCATCATTCTTTGCTCATTTTCCCTTTTAAATGAATTGAAATGCAAGGGGCGGTCCAGTGGTTAGCACGTCGACCTCACAGTGCCGAGGTCGTGGGTTCTCCGGCTCCGGCCTTCCTGTGTGGAGTTTGCATGTACTCCCCGGGCCTGCGTGGGTTTTCTCCGGGTATTCCGATTTCCTCCCACATTCCAACAACATGCATGGCAGACTGATTGAACACTCGAAATTGTCCCTAGGTGTGAGTGTGAGGGCGGATATTTGTCTCCAGCTGGGATTGGCTCCAGCACGCCCCGCGACCTTTGTGAGGATAAAGCGGTTCAAAAAATGGATGGATGGACGAAATGCAAGGTGCAACATAAGCAGATTCGCATTGCAGGTTACCACTCGAAATTCACATTTTGTGCCTCAATCAACACATCAAAATGAAAAACTGCAAAAATGAGACCTCCTAGATAATTATTTGTTTGACTTCAACTGCCCTCCATTAAAGCTCTGGAAAGTGACAAAAAAAGAAACAAATAGGGATTAGTCAATTTAGTACGCTACACACCAATCTCTGAGAAAAAAGAAAAAAAAAGGTTTAAGCCGGAAACCAAAATGAGAAAAATAATTACTTAAAATTTTCCTCTCGGGTGATATCAGTGCACAACTTCCAGTGTTTGCAAATATATTGTGTAAATTATTAAACATAAAACTTCTCAGTAGAGTTATTGAGTTTGTTTGCTAAATACCGTTACAAGTCAATACAAGCGAGCATGTTATTTGCTTTTAATGAGCGGTGAAGCATTGCGTGCTTCGGAAAGCTTAATAGTACAAAAGGGACCTATTCAGAATGATGAAAGGGACTAATTCGAACAGCAACAGCTTCCATGGATTAAAAAAAAAAACAAAACAAAAAACAAAACATGAACAAACACAAACAAATCTTTCATTAGTTTAAACTGTTTGAATGCTAGTGTCAAACTGAAGGCCCAGGGGCCAGATCTGGGCCACCGCATCTATTTATATGGCCCGCGAAAGCACATCAAGCATGTTAACTTCCATGACGCACGCTAAAATCGCTACGCAAATTAAAAATTGTCATCTGCGATGAATGATAATGTTGAGAGATGCAAGCGTTTTCTTGTTACATTTCGAGTAACTTGATCAATAGCATTTATGTGGTTTCACAGTCATAACACTCCCAAGGGAAGCTGTAACTACAATATGTCCCGGGGTTTTGGTGGA